CACCACTTCATTCCCCACAGCCATTTCCTCCTGTACCGCTTTCCCCTCCCTATATTGTAAGCTCGAACCCCTCGTGTATTGTGTTGTTTCTGTCTTGTCTCGTGTTCTGTCCCCCTTGCTATTGTACAGCGCTGAGCAAACCCTTTGGCGCTATATAAATACTGTATAATAATAATAATAAGTGAACATTTGAACAAGAGGAGGAGCAGAAAAGCCAGGATCAAACAGCCTTTTTACACAATGCAGAGGATTAACCCCTTAGGTTCCACAGTGAGTATAACAAGCATGCTTTACTGCATATACAGACTGATTTTACTGTTGTGGGTTTTAGTAACACATTAAGCTCATTTGCATACAATTCCAAAGCCCAAAAAAATGTAACGCTACATGCTGCTTTTTCAATCCGCCCCGTGTTCGAAAATAAAAAATCAGCTTTTCTATTTAGTGACAGGTTTACTTCAAACGTTTATGTAAAAAGCGCAATCCCATCAAAACCCCAATCCAAAAGAATGAAGAATTCTACCCATAAAATGGCAAAAAATGTCAAAGGGAGGAATCAGCAACTCAGACGCGGAACCGTGAATAAAACTAACGAGTATTGATTGGCGACGGAAACAAAATATAATTTGCTCCTACGTATAACGGCGCCTTTTATGTAACCGTTGTGCAAAATGAATGCTAAACCCGGCGTGTCGCATGAATTGTAAATAGGCCACACTAAATATTTATGCAACCTTTTATGATTATGTACATAAAATTAAATAGGAATACCACCAAATATTTGTATGCAAATTACAAAAACGAGGCTCATTAGTGCCGAGGTCGGCTAATTCTCCGCCACCGTTTTCCAGGGGCGACCGTGCCAGGGGATTGGAAAGGTGCCTGTTGTGGAAAGTGGCGGGTTTAAACAGGTAAAGGCATTGAAATGGTCTGTTGTTTGCCTGAAAACACGACATCTACGAAGATATTGTCTACGTTGTTGTGACACGAGGAGGTTAACGCACAAGGCACGTTCGGAGGGGTAGGAATTCTGCGGAATGAATTTCTTGTTCAACAGATTCTAGAGGGCATCATTGTAACAGATGGCGAGAAATATGGATCCCAGTTGTTGCCTGCGCATGAGAATAATCTTTAAAAAGTTCTTTGTAAAGTACAGTAAATCTGAGACATTGCTTTTCCTCTAAAAGCAATCTGTCACATTTGGTAAGGAGGCTTTTTGCCAATATTCAGTGTATAATGTGCAACAATGTGGGAAGCATAGGAAATATTCTGGATCTAGCAGAGGCAAGTACGGGTCTAGGCGGGGCGGGGGAGGGGGAGGGGGATCTCATGAGGGAGCTTGCTGGGAAAGAGCTGCTAAAGGAATACAGAAACTGTCCGGTCCTAGGGAAGGCAAATAGGGCATTTACTGAAGGCAGCAGCCTTCTCAAGGCATTCACAGATGAGAAAAGTACTGAATTTTTTGCTCCATAAGACGCACCTGACCATAAGACGCACCTAGATTTTAGAGAAAGAAAAAAAAATTCTGAACCAATGGACTGCAGACATAGTAAAGGAGATGACCAGAGACTGCGGACATAGTACAGGAGATGACCAGAGACTGCAGACATAGTACAGAGATGGACCAGAGAATGCGGACACAGTACAGGAGATGACCAGAAACTGTGGACATAGTACAGGAGACGACCAGAGACTGCGGACATAGTACAGGAGATGACCAGAGACTGCAGACATAGTACAGGAGATGACCAGAACTGCAGACATAGTACAGGAGATGATCAGAAACTGCAGACATACTATAGGAGATGACCAGAAACTGTGGACATAGTACAGGAGACGACCAGAGACTGCAGACATGGTACAGGAGACGACCAGAGACTGCAGAAGAGAGATGACCAGAGACTGCGGACACGGTACAGGAGATGACCAGAGACTGCGGACACAGTACAGGAGATGACCAGAGACTGCGGACATAGTACAGGGGATGACCGGAGACTGTGGACATGGTACAGGAGATGACCAGAAACTGCAGACATAGTACAGGGGATGACCAGAGACTGCGGACATGGTACAGGAGATAACCAGAGACTGCGGACATAGTACAGGAGATGACCAGAGACTGCGGACATAGTACAAGAGATGACCAGGGACTGCGGACATAGTACAGGAGATGACCAGAGACTGCAGACACAGTACAGGAGATGACCAGAGACTGCGGACACAGTACAGGAGATGACCAGAGACTGCAGACATACTACAGGAGATGACCAGAAACTGCGGACATAGTACAGGAGATGACCAGAGACTGCAGACACGGTATAGGAGATGACCAGAAACTGCAGACACAGTACAGGGGATGACCAGAGATTGCAGACACGGTATAGGAGATGACCAGAAACTGCAGACACAGTACAGGGGATGACCGGAGACTGTGGACATGGTACAGGAGATGACCAGAAACTGCAGACATAGTACAGGGGATGACCAGAGACTGCGGACATGGTACAGGAGATAACCAGAGACTGCGGACATAGTACAGGAGATGACCAGAGACTGCGGACATAGTACAAGAGATGACCAGGGACTGCGGACATAGTACAGGAGATGACCAGAGACTGCAGACACAGTACAGGAGATGACCAGAGACTGCGGACACAGTACAGGAGATGACCAGAGACTGCAGACATACTACAGGAGATGACCAGAAACTGCGGACATAGTACAGGAGATGACCAGAGACTGCAGACACGGTATAGGAGATGACCAGAAACTGCAGACACAGTACAGGGGATGACCAGAGATTGCAGACACGGTATAGGAGATGACCAGAAACTGCAGACACAGTACAGGGGATGACCAGAGACTGCGGACATTTGAATGGACTCCCGTGCCCTGGGACACACAGGGAAGAAGTCCCTGCACTTCTTTGGAAACCGCAGCCCTCACGTTCCCAATACGGTTGCGATTTCCAGTGCGGGCGGCGTGTCATTAGAATTGATGGCACCCACCCACGGGTCCGCATTCTTTTGTACGTAATTTTGTGCAGATCCGCAGCGGCACCACCCGCACATATGTGAACCTAGCCTTACAGTGTGGGGGGGGCCCCACTGCAAGGGTAGACTTTATTCAAGTTCTAATAAATTTAAAGGGTAACTCCATCTGATAGACCATGTTACACCCATATTTAGGGAGTAGCATGCAACATGGAGGCAAGCGAACCCCCCATCCAAAACAACTTCCTCCCATGACAGCAGGTGGGGGGTTCTTTTCCCCAGTGGCAGCGGTCACTTTTGAATTTTGCGTGACTGTATGGGGCTCCACCCAGGTATTCACATCATCCATTCACAGAGTCCCATCTGCCACCATGGATCAATGGAAGAGTGGGGTGGTGATCACTGTACTCAGTCTATTGAAGCTTCCTTCATAATAATTGCATATTTGTTTTCTGCAAAAGTGGATACATTTATGTATTTATTTATTTGAAAAGGTGGACTTCTCCTTTAAAAAAAATTATAGCTACTTTTGAAATTACAGCAAGGCCTCGTGCACATGGGCACCTGGGGCCATCCAGAAAATAATTCAGGCATATTTCCCAAACCTGGGAACCACAGATGCCATGTACAGCTGGCCACAGCAATCGATGGCTGTATGGGGGTATGCGCCAGTACTTGCATAGACCAGTGTATGCATATGGATATATTCCCCCGGGCGCCCATGTGCCTAATATGTGAAAGCTGAGATTTTCTTGATTAGGTTTAGCGTGCATGCACAAGACGAAGGGATTTGTTTTCTTTTTTTTTTACGTGGAAATATTTTATGACTAAATAGAGTAGAAATCACTTTTTTTCTGCCTATTAAAGGCTAAGCACATTTTTCTCTATATAAAAAAAAATCAATACTGAACCATTCTTCAGGCAAAAACAAGGTAACCAAAGAGATGAAAAGAAGACACCTTGTGATTATTGGAAGTACTTATCTGTGTCTTCAAACGGAAATTTGTCTCTGAGGAGCCCACTTGGGTTGTTGGCCAAGGCCAACGTTATCATTTAACTCTAACTCTACTCAACATTGACGTAATGGCAGTTGGAAGGGCAAAGGGTTGAACCCCAGATTGTAGAAAAATCAAAAGCCCCATGAACAGCTTGGGTCTAGGGTCCAACAAGGCTCCAAAGGGGTACAGGGAATTGATTTGAAGACTACTTAGGGTACATGCAAGCACCACAAGATACCGCACTTAAGCACTAATGCAGGCCATACATGAGTCGAATTCTAAAATAATTTTCTTTCCAAAATCGTAACTAAAAATTTTCTTTAGAATTTTGCTCCATTAGTGGGCCTCAGACGATTTTCATGCAGCCATCAAATTTAAAGTGTTACAAAACCCACAACAGTACAATCAGTCTGTATATGCAGTAAAGCATGCTTGTTATACTCACTGTGGAACCTAAGGGGTTAATCCTCTGCATTGTGTAAAAAGGCAGTTTGATCCCGATTGTTCTGTTGCTCCCCTTGTTTATGCGACCACCTCCTATCTCCTGATAAGACAGACTGAACCATAGGCATTTTGCACATGCTCAATTTGGTGTGTATTGCTAGAGAGGTTTTTTTTTGGAGGGGGGGGGAAGAGTGCAAGTGATGAGCACAGGGCCAATCAGCACTTTCCAGAGAGAGGGTCAGGGGTCCTGCATCCTCCTAGAGCAAAATGAAAACTCCTCCTACAAGCTTTAGCTAGTGCTGGGCTGGACACTGATAGAAGTCACAAGACTGCTATATACTGCTGATGAGAAAAGGTATTTAGCAGTTTATATTTACTTAAATAATTGCCTTTCCATGATCTGTGTACTGTGGGAGACCAGATATAGTGAATGCAGGGTCCTGGAAGACCAGATATAGTGAATGCAGAGTCCTGGGAGACCGGATATAGTGAATGCAGGGTCCGAGAAGACCAGATATAGTGAATGCAGGGTCCAGGGAGACCAGATATAGTCAATGCAGGGTCCTGGGAGACCAGATATAGTGAATGCAGGGTCTGGGGAGACCTGATATAGTGAATGCAGGGTCCTGGGAGACCAGATATAGTCAATGCAGGGTCTGGGGAGACCAGATATAGTGAATGCAGGGTCTGGGGAGACCAGATATAGTGAATGCAGGGTCTGGGGAGACCAGATATAGTGAATGCAGGGTCCGGGGAGACCAGATATAGTGAATGCAGGGTCCTGGGAGACCAGATATAGAGAATGCAGGGTCCTGGAGATACCAGATATAGTGAATGCAGGGTCCTGGGAGACCAGATATAGTGAATGCAGGGTCCGGGGAGACCAGATATAGTGAATGCAGGGTCCGGGGAGACCAGATATAGTCAATGCAGGGTCCGGGGAGACCAGATATAGTGAATGCAGGGTCCGGGGAGACCAGATATAGTCAATGCAGGGTCCGGGGAGACCAGATATAGTGAATGCAGGGTCCGGGGAGACCAGATATAGTGAATGCAGGGTCCTGGGAGACCAGATATAGTGAATGCAGGGTCCGGGGAGACCAGATATAGTGAATGCAGGGTCCGGGGAGACCGGATATAGTGAATGCAGGGTCCTGGGAGGCCAGATATAGAGGATGCAGGGTCCAGGGAGACCGGATATAGTGAATGCAGGGTTCTGGGTTTAGTAACACTTTAAGTGATCGGCATGTTGGAAATTTTTTTAAAAAAGAGCAAATTTCTAATCAATGATGGGAGAATTGTGCAAGGGGAGGTCTGCTGGGGAGGTCTATTGTTGCTGGGAAGTCAATTGATGCTGTAAGAGATCTACTGTTGAGGGAGGGGTCTATTGTTGCTGGCTTCCGGAGAGTCTGTTGATGCTTCTGAGGGTCAATTGTTGCTGGGGTAGTATTTTTGTTGCAGGAATTCATTGTTGTTGGGGGAATCTATTGTTGCTGGGGGGGGAGGTCTATTGTCGTTGGCTGTAGAAAATCTGTTGATGCTTTTGGGGGTCGTTTGTTGCTGGGGTAGTATTTTGTTGCGGGAATCCATTGTTGTTGGGGGGATCTATTGTTGCTGGGGGGGTCTCTTGTTGCTGACTGCTGGAGAGTCTGTTGATGCTTTTGGGGGTCGATTTTTTTCTGGGGTAGTATTTTGTTGCGGAAATCCATTGTTGCTGGGGGAATCTATTGTTGCTGGGGGTTCTATTGCTGCTGGCTGCAAGGGATCTATTTTACTGATTTTCTTGTTATCATGAACAAACTCCATACAAATGACTTACCACCACAAAATGACACTTGGCTCTGTATTCTCTAAAAGGAGCGATACTGGGAGGTGGATAAGGGGTGGAACCAGGGGATGTTGCTCAGAGGTGGGTAGTGGGGGGCGGAGTGACTCAGAAGGGGGGAGTTCCTACACTTATTCCCTGAGAAAAAAAAAGCCATATATATATATATATATATATATATATATATATATATATATATAATAAAAATTATAAAACTGGGTGACCTACATGGGGCTCCAGCATTTAGCTGTTGGTGGGGGACACAGGTGTTGCACCCATCCCTGCACCTGGCTGCCTGTCAAACTCTATGAGGCTCTGACAGCTGACAGCAGAACGTTCAGGCAGTTTGCACTCAGGGCGAATGCTCAAAGCAAAATAAGCATAATATGTTTATTTCCAATAATCGTCAGCTCCATCTAGTGGCCACAATGCAGTATTTTCCTGATTGAGAAATCTGCACAGCAACTGCTTTATAAATAGAACCCAAAGCGTTCACATAATTTAACTGCCATTTTGCTGTGAAATGTGAAAGTGAAGTGTATGCAGCACTCGGTGTGGAATACATATAATAAGTCTGAATTCTTGCTTTCTCAGACCGTTTTTAGCTTTGCTCTTTTCACATAAATACTATGGACTTTTTCTTAAAGGTCTTTATGTTAGTTAGCATGGTGTTCATATTGTAGATTGCTGGGACCTGCAGAAAAATCACAGCGCACACAACTAAGCACTTTGCTGGAGAACTTGGCTGTAATTACCGTGCCAGGTGGGCGCCAGGCTCATTGTGACAGGTATAATATTCAGCAGACTCAGCCAGTGCGTTTCGCTGCCAAGCCGCGGTTAACAGGACACATTTGCAGAGCATCGCATAGGTTTAGTATGTTTATTGACTTAGCCGAACCTGTTTATGGAGTACATGCAAATAGACAGATGGAGAACTGCGATGATCACTGAAAATTCGTTTAAACACATCTGTCTTATTAAAGAAAAAAAAATAAGTAATCCTCCGAAAGATATTTCAAAATGATTTCCAGCACTACGGGCAGCAGTGAGCAGGAACTTAAAGCAGAACTAAACTCTCTTACCCCAGGTTCACACCTAAGCATTTTCCGCAGCATTTTGTGGAAGCGCAGTACAGTCCATTTAACATGATTTCCTATGGGACAGGTTCACATCCCCGTGTTTTCACCCAGTGAGTTTTTGGAAAGGGTCAGGGACTTTTTTGAACGCCTAGGGTAGCACATATTCTAAACACACTCCTGTGTCTAATGCAGGCCATAGATGGGTTGAAAATCGACCATTTTTTTAACGAAAAATTGGTCGTTCAATAGGCCAACTTTACCACCAACGGTAAAAACAATCGGCCGATTTTCGACCCTACGACCAGCATTTAATTACTTCTGTGCCTGCAGAGAGCTCCGCTATTATATTTGACATTAAAAAGTATAGAGGTTACAACATTGTATCTATTTGTATCCATTTGGATAATGATGTTTTTATTCGGATACAAATAGATACATTGTTGCAACCGCAATACTTTTTCATGTCAAATATAATAGTGGACTGGAATTTCTTCTTTTTCTTCTCCTTTTTCTTCTTTTTTTTCTTCTTCGTCTTCTTTTTTCTTCTTCTTTTTCTTCTTCTTCTTTTTCTTGCAGGTCACGGCTCATGCGCAGATTTTTTTATCGGTAAAAAGATCGTCCGATTTGCCCATCACTGCCCCGAAAATCGGCTGATCGGCAAAATCAGCCAATTGTTTTCCAACTTTACCAATAAAAAAAATGTGCCAAAATCCAGAAAAATGGCCGACCAATTAACCCATTAACAGTGCGAAAATCGGCCGATTTTTTTTTTTCGGCTGAAAAATCAGCCGATTTTCGAACCATCTATGGCCTGCATAAGTGTCTGCTGCTTCATTCCTCTGCTATCAGCATGAATCAACTCTGACAAGTTTTCCTGACACCAAGAGAAAAAAGGTGACAGGAGAGGGAGCTCCAGCTGATTGACAGCCTCAGCTCTGTGTTCCATGTAAAGGGGTGTGTGTCCCTTCCCTCCAATCACCTCTCAGAACTCTCCTCACTGAGCTCTGCAATGTGTAACTTCAGCTCTCCGCCCCTTTTTTCTGAATGCTCAGACAGATTGATAAATTCTGGACTTTGAATGGATGTAGAGAAGAGGGGCCACAGATAAACAGGTACAACAACTTATGTAGGAGGATTTGTTTCATCTCTGTGTATCACCTGAGGCCAATCACTTCACTGGGTATATGTAAGGGTTTACAACCACTTTAAAGTGGAACTATAGATTTCAAAAGAATCATTGCTGGCAGGTAAGCTGTAATTGCATTCAGAAGGTGATAGTACTGCCTCCTGAATGCCTGTTTTTTTTCCAACCAAACAGGGATTTTCTACTGAAATACCGCACTACAACCGCAAGCTTACAGTTGCGCTGCCGCGCCATTCACTCACACGGGAAGCATGTGGTGGCGGTTCTGCTGTATAATTTGTGATGCAGTAATATGTACTGACTCTTCTGACGTCCATTGCACAGCTTAAGTGGGATATTGGGGAAGGGGGTTTATAGGCTTGTTTTTTACCGCTATACTCTGGCTGCCTGCAGGAAAAATTCCTAAAGGTACGGAAAACACAAAAAAGAGCTAAAAACTAATAACATCACACTCTTAGATAAGCTGAATAAAATACTACATCACCGACGCGTTTCACCTAGATGGGGCTTATTGCTCTCATTATTGCCCCAGTTTGCTGAGTGGTGATGAGCTATCATAAAGCCGGCACCTCCTTCGATACAAACTGATAGACATGCATAAGGGCTCTAAGTGGAGCAAATTTTTTAAGTGTGAGTATCCAGTGATCCAACAGTGTTCTTTATGGATCCCCTGTGTGTACCCTCTATCATTGGGAACCAGCACATCATCAGAGGGACAGCTGCAAAAGCCAGGAAGAGACAGCCCCCCCCACCCCCCCGCCTTCCACCCATTCCTAAAACCCCAACAAACACCACAGCTGCCTCTGCCATTCAAACAGTAGAGAGGACTTTTTCTCCTTTATAAGCCAGCCGATGACCCTCCTGATGTCCCCTATGAGGACCTAGGACTGGGTTGCCTGAGGTATTGAGAGCGGTGACATACCCCTTGTCCTGTTTGGAGGTTGCATCTATCATGTACTTGGTCTTCCGCAACCTCACCAAATGTAAGTTGTCTCCTTTTTTTGCCTACTTTCATCTGTATAAATTCCTTACTTATACCAACCACATGCAACACTATGTAGCACTAACCCTGAAGGAGCCGCTAGTTAAGTTGGGTCTTCTGTTGCTGGCCTCGATCTTCTGAAAGACCTCAGCCCCTCTGACACACCAGAGTACACCAACAGCAGTATCACAGGAAAATCACTGACAGTAACCAGTGCTAATGCTATTTCAAAGGAACACAAGCTCCGGGTCAATTAGAAAAAACACACTTAAAGTGGCGTTCCAGCTGAAAAAAAAAATAAGTAAAAGCAGCTACAAAAACTGTAGCTGCTGACTTTTAAAATACAGACACTTACCTATCCCTCGGTCCAGCAGTGTCCTCACCACCTCTGGTTTCATCGGCTGTCTTCTCTCCCTGGTGCCAGCATCTTCAGTGCAGGCACCCGGCTGTGACAGAATGCGGCTGCACAGCCGGGTGCCTACTGCGCATGCGCGAGAAGTGCTGCGCTTTGTGAATGGCCCATAGTCTTCTGGGACTTGTCACGTGTCCTAGAAGACTACAGGGAGGGAGGGTGATAGCAGCAGAAGTGGGAGTGGGTATCTGTCGATTTCAGGACACGCTCCCCAAAGGTGTCAATCCTTAATGCGGAGCGGGGGACAAAGCATTAAAGCGGAACTTCCCCTTTTGGGTGGAGCTCCGCTTTAATATGTTGTTGTCAAACCAAGTTAGTAACAGGCACGCAGTAAAGGGTAAAATGAATAATAATAATGATAATAATACACTTAGCAATAAGGACAAGGGGTAGGATGTCACTTACCAGCCAAATTTGCATAAACAGTAACAACACCACCTAAAAAGCAGCAGTGAGCAGCAATAAGAACTATAATCCCCCACTTATACTGCCAGAGTACAATAATGGCAGCTGTGCTGGGCCTAAAACTGTCTGGCAAGCATTTGTTAGTATTTGAGAGGTCAAGAACGGGTATAGGGAGATTTGTGGGCAGGTTAGGTAACAGGGGCAGTCCTTAAGATGTTTCTTCTGCCGACTATCGTTGGGGACCTTAA